TAATATATATCTACTATATATATATATATATCTCATATATCTATATATATTCTTATCTATTATATTATCTATATCTATATATATTCTATCCTATTCGCATATATAATCTATCTATATCATACCCCTCTCTACTCTATCATATATATATATATATGTATCTATATCAGCCATCTCATGTAACATATAATATCTTCTCTCTATAGATCTTCTATTATATATATATAATCTCCTATCTCTCTATTCTATCTCTCTCTTCTCTCTCTGTCTATCTCTATCTCTCTCGCTATCTCTCGCTCTCTTTCTACTATCTAATCTCGCTCTATCCCTCTATATATATCTCTATCTTTCTCTCTCTATCTCTCTACTCTCTCTCTCTACCTCCCTATATATATATACCTCTCTATCCATCACTCTCATCTTATCTCTATATATACTCTCTACTTTTATGTCTATATCTGGTATCCTGCTGATTATATATATATCTATACTCTTCTATATCTATATCTCGATATATATATATATCTATCTCTATATATATTTTTGTATGTATTATACTCCCACACCCACACACCCACACCTACACACACACAACACCCATAATTATCTATTATATTCTATATATATACTATAATATATCTTATATCTCTACTATACTATATATAATATATCTAGATGTATATATATTATCTCTTCTATATACTATATATATATATATAGATATCTCTATATGTATCTAATCTCTCTCTTATATATATAATATCTCTATACTCTATTATCTAGTCTCTATATATATCTTATATATATTATCTATATACTCATTATACTATCTATCTTATCATATATATCTATATGATATACTACTCCCTATCTCCTCGCTAGTCTCCTCCTCTTCTCTCTCTCATCTCTATTCTCTCTCGCTTCTGCTTCTCTCTATCCCTTCTATCATCTCTCTATATATCCTATATATCTATATACTATTACTCTATCTATATCTATATCTGTCCATACTTATATATCATCTGTTTGCACACAACACACCACACACACACCACACACAACACACACACCACACACACACACTCCCACATATAATATATCTATCTCTATATACTATATATATATATATATAATCTATACATACATCATATATATAGATCTATATCTATATATAGAATATTATATATATATATATATATTATATATATATATATAATGTGTGTGTGTGTGTGTTGTGTGTGTGTGTGTGTGTGTGTGTGTGTGTGTGTGTGTGTGTTGTATACATATACATATATATATATATATATATATAATAGATATATATATCTATATCTATACCTATATTTCTAATATATATAATATATATATCTATCTATCATATACTATCTCTTATTATATACAATATATGTCTATCTATATATATCTATATATATATTATATCTATATATGTATATGTATATAGAATATCTATGTATATATATTATATCATATCATATATATTATTCTCTCTATATATATCTCTCTCTACTCTCTCTCTCTCTCTCTTCTCTCTCTATCATATTCTATCTCTCTATCTCTATCCTATATATATGTCTCTCTCTATCATGCATCTCTCTCTCTGCTCTATACTCTCTCTCTGCATCTCTCTATCTATCTATATATCTCTATCTCCCTCTCTGTATTATCTCTCTCTATCTCTATACTCTATATATATCTCTATCTATCTATAGCTCTTCTATCTATTTATATATTATAGTATATTATATCTCTATAGCGCTCTACTACTATCTCGTATCTCTCTCTATCTATCTCTCTATAGTCTCTACCTATCATACTATCTATCTCTCGATCTGCATCTCTTCTCTTATCGTCTCTCTCATCTCTCGCTTCTGCTCTCTCTCTCCTCCTCTCTCTCGCATCTCTCTCTATATATATCTCTCTCTATATTATCTAACTACTATACTCTCTATATAATACATCTATGTCTCTCTTATCTCTCTCTCTCTCCTCATATATCTCTCTCTTTATCTTCTCTATCTTCTCTCCTCTTATCTATCTATCATATGCTTACTATCTCTATCTCTTATAATCTACTTATATATCTTATTATCTATATACTATCTCATATCTATATATCTATCTCTCTCTATAGCTCGACCTATATATCTCATATATCTCTCTCTCTCTACTCTCCTGCGTCTCTCTCTCTCTCTCTCTCATCTCTCTCTCTTCTCCTCTCTCTATCTCATCTCTATCTATCTCTATCTATATCTCTCTCCTAATCTCTCTCTCTCTCTTCTCTCTTGTATCTCTCCTCTCTAATCTCTCTCTCTCCTATCTCTCCTCTCTCCTCTCTCTCTCTCTCCTCTCCTCTCTCCGTCTCATCTCCTCTCTCCATCTATGTCTCCTCTCTCTATCATCTCTCTCTCTCTTTACTTCTCCCTTCTCTGTCTCTCTCTCTCTCTCTCCTCTTTCTTCTCTCTTCTCCTCTCTTCTCTCATCTCTCTCTCTATATCATCTCTCATATCTCTCGCTCCCCTCTCTGTATATTCTCTCTCTCTCTCTCTTCTCTCTCTCTCTCTCTCTCTCTCTACTCTCTCTCCTTCTCTGTCCCTTCTGTCTCTCTCTCTCTCTCTCTCTCTCTATCTCTTCTCCTCTCTCTCTCTCTCATCTCTTCTCATCTCTTATCTAATCTCATTATTATAGACTATATATATATATATCTAGTATATCTACCTTTAGATTTATATATCTATATATATCTCTCTATATACTTATCTATAATACTATAATATCTCTCCCTATATGTGATATATCCGCTACTATATCTATATATATAATATATATTTATCTATCTATGTACATCTATGTATCTCTCTATGTAATATCCTATCTACTATCTCATATATATATATCAATCATATATATACATATATATCTAATTCTATATATATCTATCTAGTCTATATATATATCTCATACATATAATATATATATATATATCTATAGTCTATCCATATATGTATATATATAATATTCTACTATATATATCTATATATATATACTCTATCTCTATTATGTCTCACTCTCGCTTCCTATACAACATGCGTGTGTTTCTATGTGTGTGTGTGGTGTGTGTGTGTTGTGTGTGTGTGTGTGTGTGTGTGTATGTGTACTGTGTTATTATATATTCTTCTCTCTCATCTAATATTCTATATATATATATCTATCTCTCAGCCTCTCTCTCTATCTACTATATACTATCTATCTGTATCTCAACTCATATCTACTCTACATTCTATCTCCTATCTATAATCATCTATCTCTATTCACTGTCAATATATATTATATATGCTCTCATTATATATATCTGATCTATCTCTATATATCTATCTATCTCGAACCTGCAACCCCACACACCACACACACCCATCACGACATATCTTCTCTCTCTCTCTCTCTCTCTCTCTCTCTCTCTCTCTCTTCTTCTTACCTCTCTCTCTGTCTCTCTCTCTGTCTTCGATCCTTTATATCTCTCTCTCTCTTATCTCTACTCTCTCTATCTCTTCTCTCTCTCTCTCTCTCTCTCTCTCTATCTCTCTCTCCTCTGCCGCGATAGCTCAGTGGTTAGAGCACTGGACTCCGACCCTCGTGGTCCCGGGTTCGATTCCCCGTCGCGGCAGTTGTAAAAAATGCCTACGCTCTGACTTCTGGCTCGAGCCCTAGAAAACGACATATCGGCTTGAGAAGTCAAACGCAGGTGTCGTAGGGGAAGTCACCGCCGTGGCACAAGTGTTACACGCCGAACCGCGGTTGATTAGGAAGGGCATTCAATCAGGCAAGGGTGACACCGCCATATAACTTCTCAATACTGAATTGAGAGAGGCCTATGTCCTGCAGTGGAATGAATGGCTGTTGAAAAAAAAAAAAAAAAAAAAAAAAAAAAAAATATATATATATACATATATATATATATATATTTATACATATATATATATATATATATATATATATATATATATATATATATATATATATATATACACATATGCATATGTATATATATATATATATATATATATATATACACATATATATATATATACATATATATATATATATATATATATATATATATATATATATATATATATATATATACATATATATATATATGCGTATATATATATATATATATGTACATATATATATATATATATATATATATATATATATATATATATACATATATATATATATATATATATATATATATATATATATATATATATATATATATATATATATACACATTTACACACACACACATGTGTGTTGCATTTATCATTATTATGAAGATGCCTATACAGATACATTATATAAACATATTAGATAGATAAGTTACATAGATAGTTTAGATAAGAAGAATGTACAAGATGCTCAAGATTACAATGTTAGCAATAAGGACGATGATATCATTAATGTCAAGTTCATTTCATTAATCGTCCTTTAATTAAGATGATCACAAAACAATTCCGATAACAGCAATTTACCAACGATAACAAAAGTCATTATCTTTGCTATCACAATTTCATCATCTTTATCATTATCCGTATAACTGATGCGGTTGTCATTCTGGCAAGAGTGTTATCACCAGCATCAGTACAAGTCTTATTGTTGCCATCATTATCATCATGTCTGTCTGTGTTGTTGCCAACCTTTGTCAGCAAAAGCGTCTTGATTTAAATTTCTCGTTAGTTTTAAAGAAAAGAAGTGAAAAAAACAGAGCAAAGCAAAACAAACAAACAGAATCAACAACACCAAATACAAGAAAGTGCAACCATGAGCATATATCAAATGTGATAATGTTCTAGAATGGGGCGGGGGGGGGGGGTCAGGAGGATATCAAGAAAAAAAGAGTTAAATATATCTGTAAGAAATACTGATAATAACATTCATCTCTTGCGCCACCGCCTCAATGTAGAGAGTTTTCAAGGTCGACC